TTTAATAAAAGAAAACTACCACAAGGCAGTATAGTGTAGTAAAGATCCAGAATGCCTGAGATTGAACTCCCAGCTTTGCCCTTAAGTAGCTATGTAACTTTGGACAAATTACTTAGTCCGCCAATGCCTCTTTTTTCATTTGTAAAATGGGGATGATAGTACCTACCTTGTAAGACTGTTGAGAGGATAAAATGAGTTGACATCTGTTAAACACCTAGAACATTACTGGGAATGAAATAAGTGTTATGTACAAGGCCTTACTTTGTGCGTACCGTGAGAAGGCAGGGTTCTCTGGAAAAGACATTAATGCCTGGGAAAATAGAAGGCAGCAGGAAAAGAGGAAGACCAAATATGAGGTGAATTGACTCCATAAAAGAAGTCATAGGCATGACTTTACAGGTGTTGAGGAGAGCTGTTGAAGACAGGACATTGGGGACAAAACTCATTCATGGCTTGCCAGGAGTCTGAGCTAATCAATGACATGTAATACACAAGAAGCTTTATACTACAGTTGAAGTTACAACCTAGTTTGAATTCCCCAGCTCTGTTGTTAATTGGCTATTATCTTTGGCCAGACTTAAGCACTCCTTATTTTTAAAATGGGGATGGTTCAAACATTGCTGAAAACATGTAAACTTGAGGTTAGGGCTGTTTTCTCTGTCTCCAGCACCTTGAATAGTGCCTGATACAGTGTGTGCAATAAACACTTGAATTTACAAATATTTAGCATACCTTATGCCTATAACTTTCATTAAGATATAAAGATGAATAATAAAACTCAGGTATGTAATAAGTGCTACAACAGAGATGTGGACCAGGTTCAATGGTAGCAAGAAAGACAGGACTGACAATTGGGTTTGGTTAGAAGGTCATTTTTGAATGAGCAAAAAGCCTACCAGTGCAGAGTGGGGCCAGAAATTGAATCACAATGAAATAGGAGTGGACATGCAGCATAAAGTATTTTATATAATGAACTTCAATGGGAAGTGTGATAATAGCTAGAGTAGCATAAAGGTATGGAGTAGGGTTTTTTAAAGATGACAGGGATGTGTACTTTATGAACCTTTTGTGGAGGAGAGACTGTTCCATGAGTGACCACTGCTCCACTGGCCAGCTAGATCCTGGTCAAAACACATTGTTTCCTGAAAACCCCCCAGAGACTGTCTGATCTACCTGTCCCCTATCCCCCAGGCATGTTGGTTTCTGGAAAGCATTGTTGCTCTGCTCCAGGCATGTATGCAAGGCATTTTCCCCTTATCTGGGGTGACTTACAGCCCTTAGCACCTGCCAAGTGGCATGGAGGATATTCCATGTTGTCTTTGTCACTCAAGACTCACCTATATGTAAATTCCCTTAATAAACTGTTGATGTACACTTACCTGGCAGGGGAGATACCATGAACACGAAGATGGTGAAGGTGGTTTTCCCAGGGCAAGGCTTATCCATTGCACTCCAGATATACTGAACCCTGCGACTTCCCCCAAAATAGAAAGCTCAACTGTATAATTTTTGGTAGTGGGAGACTCCTTTTGTGATCTCCCCTAAAAAATGAAGTAAATAAACTCTTAATGAAACAATGGAGTTGTCAGCCTCTTTTTCCAGTTTCTCAGCCTCAGAAAATTTTAACACCTTTTATGCCGAGCTGTTGGTTACAAATAAGTAGCTGAATCTAAGTTGCTTTCTGAACCATCATCAAATACAATGTTGGGGGGGGAAATGTAATGTTGACTCTTGTAGGTCAAACTGAGGTGCTCCTTCCTACAGCCTTCCATATTCCATAAGGAAACCATTTCCTTAAGCTCCTTTGCTTCCTGGGTTGTAGAAAAGAAAAAAAATACACATTCTCTAAGTGCATGCACCATCATTATGGTCCTTTTAGGGTTCATTTAGATAAAGAATCCTAGACTGAGTGGAGATACGACTTGTCTAAAGTCACAGGGTCTCTGAAAGACACTTCTGGAACAGAACTCAGGCTTCCTCTTGGGTCCACTCCGGCATCTTCCATTTCACTAGGGAAGTGGGCAAAATGATCCAGTTTGATTCCGATACATCTGGGTTCCAAGCTAGCCACTTCCTGTCTGTGACCAGGGCCAAATTATTTGAACTTTGTAAGCCACAGCTTTCAGCCACCAGATTGAGACGTGGTGGTGAAACCTAGGGTCCTTATAACTTTGATTAAATTTGGTTTTAAATCCTAGCCCTAGAAATAATTTCTCTCCATATACAGAAGTGGGCAAAAGTAGATTTATAGTTGTTCATATGGAAGATAATACAATGATTAATAAATTATAATACAAGAATAAACTTTCATGTATTCACAACTATAAACCTGTTTTTATGACTCCTGTATCTGTATATCTGTATATGTATACATATCTCTCAGAGACCTAGCCTTTTCCCCATTAACAGCAACCCCCCTCACCCCACTCCCACCCCCGCTTCCACCAGGCAGCAAAAGACAGTAGCACAAACAACAAACGGCTAATAGTCACATGGTGTGGACCTCTTGCAGGCTAGATAACATTTTCTTTTTTAAGGTAACAGATTTTATTTTTTTAAATTTTATATTATTTTAGAGAGAAACATCGATGTGTGAGAGAAACATGGTTTGGTTGACTCCCACACATGCCCCCACCAGAGATGGAACCCACAACCTGGGAATGTGCCTTGACTGGGAACTGAACCCGCTACCTTTTGTTGTATGGGACAATACTCCAACCACTAAGCCACACCAGCCAGGGCAAGATAACCTCTTGACCTAAGTTATGCTTCATTGCTGAGTCCTAAGGTAGAGCACTGCTTGACTACTTTCCCATGAAACCAGACAGAGGGACCTGTCTGGGACACACCTCAGAGCTGCCCTCAAGACCTGGAGAAATGATTCATTACACTTACCTCCAACTTACTGCTCCCAGCAGGACGCACAACCCTTGTGATTTTGCCCTATATAATCTGTAACCTACAGCCCCGTGCATTCGGGTGTTCAGACTTTTGAGCAATACCTACTTCTACCCCGCTGGTGTGGAAGTTGTCCAATGCACCAGGAGGTCGCCAGTTGAATTCCTGGGCAGGGCACATGCTGGGTTGCAGTTATGCAGGAAGCAGCCGATTGGCACCCGTTAGATGTTTCTTTCGCTTGCTCTCTCCCTCTCCCTTCCTCTTTCTGAAATCAGTAAAAACGTATTGAAGAAAAAACAAAATCTCCCAGTACCCCTGATGGCACCATTTACCAACAAAATAGCCAATATTTCTCTACTGCCGTTCTCGGTGTTTAGTGTTCAGCTCTGCTAGTGCCAGGTGGATGAACTCTTTCTGTTCTGTGGAGGGCAGTGTTAATTGAAAAACACTCGGGATAGCATCTCAGGTATATATATTTAAAAGAGCCTAATGTGAGATTGGTTTTTTTCCTACTAGCCTGTGGGCTTCGTGAGGACACCAAATAAACGACCCAGTGGACACAGTCCAGGAGAGCCAACGTGGATGATGCGCCCCATGCCACGCCGGGAATTTAACCTGACGGGGCGGGACTTCCGGCAAGAGGCGGAAGCGGAATAGGAGGTGCGGGCGAACCGGTGCGACTTAACAGATTAGTAGCGGGTAGAGTGGTGAGCTGGACCTGAGGAGGAGAAGCAGGACCCTGGCTCTTTTGCCATCTCCCGGAGCTCCCGCGACGCTGACCTCCATGCCAGGATGGCTCGGGGCGAGCGGCGGCGCCGCGGACCGCCGGTAGATGGAGCGCAGACGGCTGAGAGAGCGGCTCGGGGCGGCCCCGCGCGAAGGGAAAGCCGGATCCGCGTGGCCCGTGGCACGGTCGGGGGAGCAGTTCTGGCCATCGTAGTCCTGCCTCTGGCCCTCACCCTGTCGGGAAGCTGGCTACTGGCGTGGCACCGTGCGCGGCGGGCAGTCACGCTGCACTCCGCGCCCCCGGCGCTGCCTCCCAACTCTTCTAGTGCAGCTGTGGCCCCAGACCTCTTCTGGGGCACGTACCGCCCACACGTCTACTTCGGCATGAAGACTCGTAGCCCGCAGCCCCTCCTCACAGGTAACCGGGTCCCGGCGGGCAGGCAAGCAAAGCCTTACTGGGTGCCCCAGCTTTACGCCAGAGCAAGGGTGGGGAGGAGTGGATCAGGAGAGCTATGAAGAGGGATGACCCTGAAGTTCTCATAGACACAGAGGAACAGGATCGCTGCTCTCTTTGACTTACGTGGCTATTCTACCCCCAGGACTGATGTGGGCACAGCAAGGCACCACCCAAGGGACCCCTAAGCTCAGGCATACCTGTGAGCAGGGGGACGGCGTGGGTCCCTATGGCTGGGAGTTCCACGATGGTCTCTCCTTCGGGCGGCAACACATCCAGGATGGGGCCTTAAGGCTCACCACTGAATTCGTCAAGAGACCTGGGGGTCAACACGGAGGGGACTGGAGCTGGAGAGTGACTGTAGAGCCTCAGGTCAGGGCCTCAGGACACCTTTCCCCTAACCCAGACTCCCTCCACCCTTCCTTGGCTGCCAGCAAAAGCAGTGGGAAGTAGGGGGTAACAGTTAGAGCTCTGAGTATGGCGTTCTGGTTGGAATCTGGCTGCCTATCTTAAATACTTGCTTATAAGACCACCTCTATTTACTATCTCTAAGCCTTGGTTTCCTTTTCTGTTAAATGGAGATAAAAATAGCACCTAACACAGGATTGTAAGAATTAAAGGAAATAATATGTAGTTCTTAACATAATACATGGCACAGAAATACTCTTATTATTTCCCAGATAACTCTGTGCAGGGATCTTTCTCTCATCCCACTGGGTGCTTACCCTCAGTGACCCTCAACACTGCCAGATATATGTTGTTTCTCATATTGCCCCTTTCCCTCTCTTGATTCTCGAGAATGCCAATTTAATGCTGTTTATCTGTCCTCCTTGGCCATCTAGGCCTTAGGTACCTCTGCCCTCCCTTTGGTGTCCCTATTCTTCTATGTGGTGACAGATGGCAAGGAAGTCCTAGTGCCAGAGGTTGGGACTAAGGGGCAGTTGAAGTTCATCAATGGGCACTCCAGTGAACTTGGTGACTTCCGTTTTACACTTTTGGCACCAACCAGTCCAGGGGATACTGCTCCCAAGTACGGCAGGTAACTGGGGGAAGAGTTCGGGCTGGTGGTAGGGGTGGTATGGATGCTGACATAGCCTGATTTCCATCTCCTCCACTCTACCCTCTTTCCACCAGTTATTTCCCTTCCCACCAGGCTCCTTGTCCCCTGCATTGCCAAGACCTTCCCATCCTAACTCTTGATCACCTCATTTCTCTTTACAGTCCCTTCTATTTCCTCCTGAATAATATTTCCTATTTATCTTCTTCCCTTCAAGCTACAATGTCTTCTGGTCCTCCAACCCAGGACTTCCCTTGCTGACAGAGATGGTGAAGAGTCGCCTAAATAGCTGGTTTCAGCATCGGCCCCCAGGGGCCTCCCCTGACCGCTATCTTGGCTTGCCAGGATCTCTGAAGTGGGAAGACAGAGTCCCAAGTGGGCAAGGAGAAGGACAAGGGCAATTCTTGATACAACAGGTGACAGTGAAAGTCCCCTTTTCTGTGGAGCTGGTGTTTGAATCTGGCAGTGCCCAGGCAGGAGGAAACCAAGCCCTGGGGCAGCTGGCAGGCAGCTTGCTGACCCAAGCCCTGGAGCACCATGCCGAAGCCTTTAGAGAGCGCTTTGAGAAGACTTTCCAGTTACAGAAGAAGGGCTTGAGCCCTGAGGAGCAAGCTTTGGGTCAGGCTGCCCTCAGCGGTCTCCTTGGTGGGATCGGCTACTTCTATGGACAGGGTCTTGTGTTGCCAGACATGAAGGATGAGGGGTCCGAGCAGAAGATGGCCCCAGCCCTCTTTCCACCTGTCCCTCTTTTCACAGCAGTGCCCTCCCGATCGTTCTTCCCAAGAGGCTTCCTTTGGGATGAGGGCTTTCACCAGCTAGTGGTTCAGCGGTGGGATCCCCGCCTCACCCGGGAGGCCCTAGGTCACTGGCTGGGGCTACTCAATGCTGATGGCTGGATTGGGCGGGAGCAAGTGCTGGGGAATGAGGCCCGAGCCCGGGTACCCCCAGAATTCCTGGTGCAACGGGCAGCCCACGCCAACCCCCCAACCCTGCTTTTGCCCATAGCCCACATGCTAGAGGGTGGTGATCCTGCCGACTTAGCCTTCCTCCGCAGGGCCTTCCCCCGCCTGCATGCATGGTTCTCCTGGCTCCATCAGAGCCAGGCAGGGCCAGTACCACTATCTTACCGCTGGCGGGGTCGGGACCCAGCCTTGCCAACCCTATTGAACCCCAAGACACTGCCTTCAGGGCTGGATGACTATCCCCGTGCTTCACACCCTTCAGCCACTGAACGGCACCTGGACCTACGGTGCTGGGTGGCACTGGGTGCCCGTGTACTGGTACAGCTAGCAGAGCAGCTGGGAGAGGCTGAGGCAGCTGCGGAGCTGGGCCCACTGGCTGCCTCACTGGGGGCAGAGGAAATCCTAGATGAGCTACACTGGGCCCCAGAGCTAGGAATCTTTGCAGACTTTGGGAACCACACAAAAGCAGTGCAGCTGAAGCCTCGGCCCCCTCAGGGGCTGGTGCGGGTGGTGGGCCGGCCCCACCCTCGCTTGCAATATGTGGATGCCTTGGGCTATGTCAGTCTTTTTCCCTTGCTGCTGCAGCTGCTGGACCCCCACTCATCCCGCCTTGGACCACTGCTGGATGTTCTAGCTGACGGTCGACATCTCTGGAGCCCCTTTGGTTTGCGCTCCCTTGCAGCCTCCAGCCCCTTTTATGGCCAGCGCAATTCAGAGCATGATCCTCCCTACTGGCGAGGTGCTGTGTGGCTCAATATCAACTACCTGGCCTTAGGGGCTCTCCACTACTATGGGCATTTAGAGGGTCCCCACCAAGCCCGCGCTGCCAAGCTCCACAGTGAGCTCCGTGCCAATGTGGTGGGCAATGTGTTGCGGCAGTATCAGGCCACAGGTTTCCTGTGGGAGCAGTACAGTGACCGGGATGGGCGGGGCATGGGCTGCCGCCCTTTCCAAGGTTGGACCAGCCTTGTCCTACTAGCAATGGCTGAAGACTACTAAAGGGAGAGGGTGGGAGGGGAACCAGGCTCTTTGTACCACTATGGACTACAGGACAACATCTCTAGCTTCTGCCCCCAGCCAGCCCTCAGATACCAGGTACTTCAAACCCTCATCTCAGGTGTCTCCTTACTATCATCCCACACAATCCTGGGGTGAATGTGAATCCAGAGTCTATTTTTCTAAATAAACTGGAAAACCATGCCAAATTACTGTTTTTGCCAGCTTTGCCTCACCAAGAGGTCTTGGCTCAATTCAGGCATTAGGGCTGCCTGCTGTCCTTCAGAGAAGGTGGGAAAAGTGGCCATTACCTGTCTCCTCCAAGTCCAGTCAGGTCAAGTGTAATGAAGTGAGTTGAGCACTAGTCCACCCAAGTCCACAAGCAGCTGGTTCACATCTCTTTAATGAGATCAAAGGCTCCTGTGTATGTCATTGGGGGTAGAGCTAGCACAGTCCCCCAAACATGGCCCTTCTCCTCAGGACTCCAGCCCTTTCAGGCAGATTCTAGTAGGAGCGCAAGGAGAGGCCGAAGAGAACTCAAGGAATTGGGACCAGGGCTGTTTCTAGTGGGCAAGTAACCCACCCATCCTCCCCAAACTGCTTATGGGATGTCCCCTTCACTGGAAGCCAGCCGCACAGAAGAAACTTGGGATACGGAATCTAGGGGCAGTGTACAAGGGGAGCAGTCCTCCAGATCTGGCTGAGTGGCACTAGCCCTAGCCTCCTTGACTGGCTTGCCCTCGCTGGAGTCAGGACAAGGGCAGAGCTCGATACCCGAGTCACCAGTCAGGCGGCGATAGCGGCAGGAAAGGGGTGTGGGGGCAGGGCTTACCCCTGCCCCAGGCTCACCCTCCTGATGAGGGGGAGCACTCCCGTGGGAGGAAACACCTTCCACATTTGTTCCCTCGCAGTGGGTAGGGCAGCTAGAAGTGGAGGAGCAGCAGGTACGCTCCCTAGAAGCAGTCAAGGGGCAGCCCGGGACCGCAGTATAAGGAGGTGGTGGTGAGCCCGGGCGGTGAATCGCATCCTCATAGGCTGGGGGTTTGAAGGCGCTGAAGAGGCCTGCAGGAAAGAATGGCATGGTTGTTTGAAGGCAACCAGGGGTGAGGTGGTGGTCTCTCTACTATTAGGGAAAAGTGTGCTTTGAAATGCCTGAAAGCAAAATGTGGGGATGATTCGGGGTCCTCATTTGGGAGGGGCCACTTAGTGAGCCCAGAGCCTCAAGTAACTCACGAAGGTCAAGCAGTGAACCCGTAGAAACAGGGCCAGCCCCATGGCATGCCCCGTGGTAGGCCAACAAGTTGATCTCACGCTGCCGCTGCTGTTGCTGCAGCCGGAGTTTAGCTCGTCGATGACGGAAGGCGCAGCAGCAGCTAAAGAGGATGAGCACAGTCCAGAGCAGCCAGAACCCTGCAGGGGGGTGAAGAGGGAGAGCCTTAGATACCTCCCATGCAGAGAAGGGTCCTTAAAGGATAGAATTCTGAGGTCCAAGGAAGGGTGGGCAGAAAAAAGGACCCGAGAATAGCCCCCATGGGGACTCACACCAGAGCTCATAGTAGTAGGTGCAGCAGCCAGTCTCCCCGCAGCAGTGACCACTCTCACAGAGGTAGGGCTGGTTGTTCACTCCTGGGCAAACCTCTCGAAGCTGGGAGCAAGGAGGCACTTAGAACCAAGGGAGATTCCAGCCCAAGGCACTGTCCACCCCAGTACCAAGCCCCTGCATGCACATCCACAATCCCATCCTGTGAACCGAGTTTAGCACAGAGGGATCTATGAGGAGGGGAGAGTGATGCTGAGAGGAGTGTTCAAATGTCTGAAGGGCCGTCAACATGGAAGAGGATTTGGAATAGCAAAAATCAGTCTAGAGAACAGGGGGAAGATGGGGACATATACAGAGGAAGATTTTAGCTCTGCATATAGACTGGCCCCCGGGGTATTTTCTTTTAATGGAGTGTTTGGCAGAAGCCACGAGACAGTCTGAGCAATCTCAAAGTCTTGGACAATGAGTAAAGGGTTTAAAGTAATTTCCAAAGCTAAGATGCTTTCATCATCCCCCACAGCCTGCCACTCCCCATCCCCAAGGTGGATCTTTCCACCTCTGGGTCTCAGACTTCCTAGGGTAGAGGAGGAGCAGTGTGAGGCCCAGAGCAGTGCTCCCAACCAGAAGGGATTGCTGTGGATGATAAAGGATGGCATCCAGGGCGCGAGTCTGGGTTCCAGCTCTTCTCCAAATTGCTCCCTCAAGAGAAGACGCTGCCGGACTCTGTTGTGACAACAGGCACACAGAAAAACATCACAAATAACTGTTGCAAGGCAGAGGGAGCCTTCCTGGGGCCTCACTATGCATCTGGTCACTGGAGAGCCACTGCAAGCTGCCACTGCAGCCATGGGATCGGTCTATGAGGCTGCAGGCAAAAGCAACTGCATCTACGTTACAAAGTTTAAACAAAGAGTGGAAGGGACATATTTAGGAACTTCACAATACCTCTGGCTCCGTGAGTTCCTCCCCAACCCCCCAAAAGGAAAGGGGAAAGGGAAATAGATGGCTGTCGGGATACGCTTTTGGAGCTGGTGGGATACCTGCTGTTGCGGCATCCGAAGTGCCCCCCAGGCCTCCTCGCTGCCGTTCCCGCTGCTGGCCCGAGCCATGCCTCCACCTACAGCCCCCTGAAGACTACAGCCTCCTCTACCGCCAGCCGCCCCGCCCCTGCCACTTCTGCCGCCACTGCCATGGTCCCTGCCCGGCCCATCTCCGCTGCCACCACCATCACTCCGTGGCCGGAGCTCCCATCCGGGGAGAGCTCTGCCAACTAGGAGCCAGGTTGCTCCGTCCTACCAATCAGAATCCCCCCCCGGCGAACGGGCCAATAGGATCGGATCAGAGGTTTCTGCCGGCGACCAATCCACAGCAACGCCTCTGCCACTCTCCCAGACAACAGGAGCTCTCCCAGACAAAGAGTGGGGTAAGGTTCGACCCACAGCCCTGACTGACAGCGACAATAGCCAACATGGACAACAGAATAGGCTTGGGGTTGCCAACCAATGAACGGCCGCCCAGAAAGCAAAGTTCCCACTGATTGGCTTGACTCTTGTTTCCGGGGATGACGCCAAGTGCCCGTTCACTCCAGGTAATCCCGCAGGAAGAGGTGGAGGTCCCAAAATTCGGCCGGAGTTTGGGCGGGAGTGTCCTGCCTTCCTGCCGCCTGGCCTGGTGGACGTTTCCCAGGCGTCAACGCAAGCTCCGGTGGGGCAAGATATGTGTACGGGGAATTGGCTTCCCATACCCCATTCCCCCAATTAGGTAAATTCTGTACAAGTCGAGGCGTCGGATGAAATTTAATAGGGTAGGGATAACACTGAATCCGGGCAGGAGAGGGCGCAGAGTCCTGGTTAAGGGCCTTAAGTAGCCAAAAGGGGGGACCCGGGGCCTTCGGGCCCCCCCAACCGCATCTGCAGGTTGATGCGGTAGCACTGAAGGCTGCAGAGTGCCTGGCCAGTGCGGGAGCAGGCATAGCGGCGCGGGTGCGGGCAGCCAGGGACGGAGCATCGCGGAGGAGGGCCAGGCGGGGCTGGCCGCTGAGACACTGGTGCGGGGGTGGGGACGCCTGGTGGAAAGGAAAGGGTGGAACCCTGTGCCCCGCTGCTGTAGCGCACCATGGGGGCCGGGGCCGCGGCCCGCCCTCCCCGCCGCTCCCCCCTTG